GGGAGGGAGGGAGGGAGGGAGAGAGAGAGAGAGAGAGAGAGAGAGATTGAATTCCCTAACATAAAGGCAAACCAATTCACCGGTGAAATCTCCCTGGTTATCTTGGATTATTGTGTGCCGATTGATTTCTGCCTCTGCTTTTAGAATCGGCAACGGTACCTAAACTGGATATCATTCATAGGTTGCAACACCCCAAATCCGTAGCGGGTCTTGTTTATGGCCGGGATCTTTTCCTGCTGATTGATCAGCTCCAGATCGTAACAAGCCAGCATCAGGAAGGCGAAAAGTTTGATTTCGTTGGTGGCGAAGTAGCGGCCGGGACACATGGAGGTCCCAGCACCCCAAGGCATGGCGTAATACTTTACCTTCTCACCGTTCTTAAAGAATTCCTTCTTGTTGCCATTTTGGCTGAGGAAACGGTCGTACTTGAAGGCCTGGGGGTCCTGGTGGATTTCGGGGTCCATGTGGGACGAGAGGTAAGGGAAGAGGCAGATTTTGTCGCCTTTGCGCAGCTTGTAGGTCTTCCCATTGTGGAGCTTGAGGTCCATGTCTTCTAAAATCAGCCGGACCAACAGCGGGGCCGTCGCCAACCTCAGGGTCTCCTCTACGGCGCTGTCCAGGATGGGAGTTTGGCTCAGCATCTCCTTGGTGACATTGAAGGGCTTCTGGCGGGAGGCTGGGTCTTGGCCTGACTTCTTCACCACCTCCTCAATCTCCTTCTTGACCTCCTCCATGGCTTTTGGGTGCTTCATCAGGTTCACCAGGAGCCAGAAGGAAGCTGGGCCGGTGTTACCTTGAGCGGCCCAAAGGAGCAGGAACATGAACCGGTCCCTCATTTCCTCAGAGACCCCACTTTCGGCCAGCTGTTGAGACTGGTCGCTGACCCACCGGCTGATGTTGTCCTTCTTGTAGACGTTCTTCACTGAAAGCATCTGCCAGAAGTAGTTCCAGATCTTCTTCACTTGGCCCCACTCCGGCGGGGTCAACAAGGCATATGAGAGGCGCGGGAAGAGCTTGTCGTACTTGCGAAATTCGACGAAGACATCTTCGGTATGCTGCTCATCTTCCTTTTTGGATTTCTCTTTTTGTTTATCGCTTGGTTCGATGCCGAACAAAGCCAGATACCCAGCTCGGAAGACCTTGTTGTAACAAAAGTGGAACAGGCCGTCCTCCTTCCAGGATTTTGGATCTTCTGTGGAGGTTCCTTGCCACTGGAATAAGACGGTCTGCAAGGCGTCCATCATGGATTGGGTCATCACCACCAGGCCCTCTCCCTTCAGATGCTTCGCGCTGGAGACTTCAATGATCTTGTGAGACTCGTGGTTTGCCTCGAATCGAAACACCCTGAGGACGAGCTCGGCCGCGAACGAAATAAAGTCCAGTTTACTCCGGGCTTCCTTGACGATGGCACCGAAGGAAAAGGGGTCAATCAAGAAGGTGAAATAATTTCCTGCGATCAAGGTGGTGAAGATGTCCCCATGTTTCTTCTGCATGGTTTTCAGGAATTCCATATTGTCGTTTCGGAAGTACACTGCGTGTCCCAGCCATGGAATGAGTCCTTTGTCCAAAGGGGGTTCGTTAGCTCGTCTTTGGCGGAAGGAGCCCGCCAGGTAGAGGAGCCCCAAAAGGCCGACCGCCAAGGCAACCGCAACTGCCACCCAGAAGGTCATCTTGATGAGTGTGTGCGGCTCAATGCCAGCCGCCTTTTCAACAAACAAGCTCTTCGGAGAAAGGTGAATGCTTTGTGATCCAGGGAGGAGTTTCAGTTGATGAAACAAGCCCAAGAATTCCAGTTAACCCTTACGATGAGGGGAAAGGGGAAAAAAACAAGGGAGGGCGGGAACCAACCGTATAAATGGGCTTTCCACCATAACATCTCAAAAAGTTAATTAGCCAGCAGGAAGCGCATTGCGAAGCGCATTGTGCCTGTGTTTATTTTACATTTGAGTGTGTGTTTTCCTGCCCTGACAAACCAGGGGTGTTGAGAACTCCTGAGAGAAACAGAAGGGAGAAGAAAATCCTTTAATGTTTGGAGAATATCCATCAGCTGAAGAAAAGAAAGGGAGAGAGAGAGAGAGAGAATATGAGACTGCTAATCTCAGAATTATTGGGAACAGGAGAAACACATTTTTTTTTCTTGTGTGTGTTCAAATAAAGGTTGTTTACCAATAAGATTTAGGCAGCTGTAATTATTGCCCCCGTTTATGGAGGAGGAGAAGGAAGGTTGTAAGGTGTTTGGTAGCCTCTGAGTTTGGTTTGTTTCTTACAGACATTTCATGACCCAACTAGATAACTTCATCCATGCTATAAGGCAGGGGTAAAATCCTCCCGGTTTGGCCTGGTTCAGCTGAACTGGTAGGGATTATTTTATGAGAACCAGGGAAAATTAAAAAAAAAAATGCTTCTGAGGGTCGCCCAGCTCAGCTGTGAGCCTTGAGATAATGGGAAGCTTCCACCCCCTCCTTTTTAAAGCATATTTTCCCTGCTGGTTTGGGCGAATAGGAAAGGGAAAAAATGCTTTAAAAAGTGGGGGGGAAAGTTGGCCGCACCCACCCAGTCACATGATCCCCACCNATACGTATTGTAAAGCCAGGATGTTATTCTGTGATGTCTCTGACTGTATAAAAAGGGGCCACGCCTTCTCTGAAGGGGAGTTCTTCCCTGCGTATCCTTGGGGTATGCTGGGAACAACTGACCACCATGTCTTTAAGCTTTGATCAAAGATTAAACGCTGATTGTTATTCAAGCCTCCTTTTAAGTCTCATGTTCGGCTCATTGAGACTTGGATGTGTTCTCAAACTTCTTTGGGTCTCAACGCATCCTCAAACCTCACAGGGCCAATGCAGCCTCTCTGTGGTCATCATGCGGTGAAAATTCAGACCTGTGGCAACTGACCCGTATTTATGATGTTTGTAGTGTCTCTGGGTCACGTGATCACCCACTGTAACCTTTTGAACAAGCAAAGTCAATGGGGGAAGCTACGACCATGTTGCTAAGTTAATAACAGCAGTGATTCACTTAACAACTGTGGCAAGAAAGATCATAAAATGGGGCATAGCTCACTTGACTGCTGTCTCGCTTAACAACATACATTTTGGGCTGAGTGGTGGTCTAGAACCACCCATATTCCTTCCTTTTACTTTTAGCATTCTTAATCTTTAGTCCAGAATAATGTCCCAGGATTTGGGTTTCCTTTCACAGTTTCTTTTGTCCCCTAACACGGAATTCTTCATTTAAAATGCCTCGTTGGTAAATCCAATATGGGAAAAAAAAATGGTTTGTTATAGTGTAGTGGTTAAGGTGCTGCAGTTGTAGTTTTCTTTTGGCAAGCTGTTTGCTACCTTGAGTTACTCACAAAGGAATAAAGGCAGGATAAAAAGAAAAAAAAGTAATTAAATAAAATTATTTTATCATCAGCCAGCTTCTTTTCATGCCCTCTGTGGAATCTTTTTGTACATCATTTTTATCATTTGTCATTTTTAAATCCCCTTGTCAGCTCAGCATTAGTTATTATAAATAAACAAAGCCACAATCTTAGAACTTGCTTTATTAAATTTCTATGCTGCCCATCCTCAGTACAGGTAGTCCTCAACTTACAATCACAATTGAACCTCAAACTTTTGTTGCTAAGCAAAACATTGGTTAAGTGAATTTTTGCCTTAGGATCTTTCTTGCAATATTATTCTTATTTCAAACAATACCAATGAAACTGGAAAAAATACTTCAAAAAACTAAATAAAATAATAGGAAAATATATTTGGCAAGGAAAGAAAGCAAGAATTAATATAGGAATGTTATAAGTTTCAAGGATTAGAGGTGGATTTGGTTTGCCAAATTGGGAATTATACTACCAAGCATCAGCTTTAACGTGAATAAAAGAATGGATATTATTAAGAAATGCAAGGGTATTATCCTTGGAAGGACACAATATGCAACTGGGTTGGCACACATTTTTGTGGTAGGGGAAAAATAGAATACATGGTTATTTTCAGAGACACTATGTAAGAAATGGTTTATAAGCAGTGTGGGAAAAAGTGAAAGAAAAGCATTATATGGAAACACCAATGTGGTTTTCAATGGTGGAAGCTCTGACATACCCAAATACTAATAGTATGAAAAAGATTATTAGAGATAAAGATATACTAACAGCAAAGGGAGAATTAAAACAGAAGAAAGAATTAGAAAAACCGTGACCCGTNAAGAAAGAAAGAAAGAAAGAAAGATGGTGTACAGGTAGTCTTTGATGTATGGCATTGAAAAAAGTGACTTGACCATTTTTCACACGACCATTACAGTATCTTTATAATCATATAATCAAAATTCAGATGCATGGTAATTGACTCCCATTTATGACGGTCGCAGTGTTCTGAGGTCACATGATCACCTTTTTTGACCTTCTGATGAGCAAAGTCAATGGGGAAGCCAGATTCACTTAACAACCATGTTACTTATGTTACAACTGCAGTGATTCACTTAACAACCATGGAAAGGAAGATTGTAAAATGGGAAAAATTAACAAATGTTTCACTTTCAGTTCTGTTTCTCATTTCCGGTGCACTGAAGTCTGATGGGGAAAAAGGATAATTATTACAATTGTGAAACAGAAGGAAAATATATACAGGTAGTCCTCAACTTACGACCACTCGCTTAGGAACTTTTTAAAGTTACAACCACACTGAAAAAGGAGACTTACGACTTTTTTCACACATACAACCGTTGCTGCGTCCCCATGGTCACATGAGCAAAATTCAGATGCTTGGCAACTAACTCGTATTTATGACGGTCACAGTGTCAAGTGATCCCCTTAGGTGACCTTCTGATAAGCAGGAATCCAGATTCACTTAACAACCTTGTGACTAACTTCACAACTGCAGTGATTCACTTAACAGCCATGGCAAAAAAGGTCATAAAATGGGGCAAAGCTCACTTAACAACTGTCTCATTCAGCAATGGAAATTTGGGGCTCAGTTGCGGTCATAAATCGAGGACTACCCATATATAAAGGCAGAATTGATGGCTTGGTTCCATCCCTTCAAATCGGAGTTTCATCTCCCAAACAACCTCATTAAACAGAATACAGAATAATAAGAATTGGAAGGGACCTCGGAGGTCACCTAGTCCAACCCCCTGCTCAAGCAGCAGATGCTATGCCGTTTCAGACAAATGGCTGAGTAGCCTCTTCTTGAAAACCTCCAGTGATTTAGAAAGCTTCGTGTTTTTGGCTGCCCTTGACCTGACTTTTAAAAACAAGGCGTTGTTATATTTACCAGCTTTTCATTGGGGAAAAATATATCAAATTTTGCAATCTTCTCATTGCCACGTTTTTACCAACTCAGCAAAAATGACACTTCGGTTAATGTTTGCCGTTGACAAAGGTCGATTTTCTTCATATCTATATCTATATATATATCTGATAAAAAGAAGGCAATGCAGGTTTAAGTCCATTAGATTGTTGTTCCCCAATTTGTGTGTGAGCCTGGTGCTGATGAAGCCCATGATGATGGGCGCCAGACAGGAGGTGCAGGTTTTCTGATGGCTTTTTATTGGGGTCCTCCAAGGAAAAAGGGTTTCTACTCAAAAGGGCAAGAGAACCCAGAACAAAGGATTAAGAAAGCTTTATACATTTCCACGAAAGGAGAAGGCGGGAGAAGGTGAAATAATAAGAAAGATCCTCTAACAAACATTTTAGCCATAATTCTACCATTGGTTCTATTGATCTATAGCGGTCCCATTCCCAAGCCTTGGCTAATGAAAGCCCCAGGAGTTCTCCAATAGACAATTCCTTTGCTGAATAGCAATAGCAGTTAGACTTATATACCGCTTCATAGGGCTTTCAGCCCTCTCTAAGCGGTTTACAGAGTCAGCATATCNTAACCACTGCGCCACCTCGGCTCCATCAAGACCTCAACAACCCCACAATCAGCCTGAGGTTACCTCGGTCAAGAGAGTGAGTCCACTTCCTTGAAGTCATGGTCAAAGCACACAATGGACACCTAATTATCATATGATGTAGGAAAGCCACAGGATGCCTCACATGTCAGGCCTGCAGCCCTATTTTCTTTTGGATCTTTAGCCTGCCACACTTTCTATTATTCTACTATGCCTTTTTCTATGGTGGGAAAATGGCAGTGGGGGGAGATTGTACGGAGTTAGATGATAGGTAGCCATAACAACATTCTTTCTAGAAAGCCAAGGTCATCCTTTGTTTCTGCACCTCTGCACCTGACCGGAACTGGATGGGTGGAAGCTGCCAGCTTGGCAGTGGGAGATTGGACCATGGGATGGACTTGTGGGTGTGGGGGCAAGAGCATGAACTTTCAACTGGGTGGGAAAACCAGGAAGCTTTCAGATTCGGGTTTTCCCAGATGTGCCAACTTGGCTCTTTTAATAAATTGGAACTTTGAGCCATACTTTGCCTTGGATTCTGATTTACTTTTGGATGCTATTTGGAACCCTGACACTGCATGCTTCTAGCTTCTGCTGAGAACATACCATGGGTCTATTTTCTGTGGCAGTATTATTTCTCAACCGTGGGACTTTTCAGATGGCTGAGCTTCAACTCCCAGAATTCCGCAGCCACCATAACTGGCTGGGGAATTCTGGGAGTTGAAGTCCAATCCATTTTAATGGTCCCAAGGTTGAGAAACATGCTCTAGAGACAATCTCTATTTACATTTTTATTTGCTTTTAAAGAGAGATGCTG